ATTGTTCCATTTGAGAACGACTGCCAAAAGATATTATGTCTACAATGTATACAGTGAGACCTATATTTATACACTACATTCCGTGTCATTTCAATTCTAGCTAGTTATCTTGATTAAATATATAATAAGCACATATTGTCACCAATTAGGAAATTATTCGATTTTATTTTATTTTATTATTATCATCATCATCATCATCATCATCATGATGTCATCATCATCATCATCATCATCATCATCATCATCATTATTATTATTATTATTTTGTTGAAGTTATCATACTTCCTTCTAGCTTTAATTAAAACTCTAATTTAATATTTCAATTCTTAAGTTGTTTGGAAGGTTTCTATGAAACAAATAAATTCTCAATAGTAAAGTACGTTTACTAATATATTTGAATCTTTGCATTGAATATCCAATTGTCAACATTGTATGTATCTTAAGTTTAACAAGGTAGTCACTGTAGTGTAGTTTATATTTCAAATACTCTTCAAATATCTCGATATTCTAATTTGAAAAAGCAACATCACCCACCACAATCATGGGACAACTACGAAGTTTGAGTATATAGTGGAAACAACCATACCCCCACAATACTGGGTAAGACTGATCTTAGAAACGTTATATTTGTCCACTATTTAAAGTTCAATCATATTGTTATTTATATTTATAAATTGGACGAACGATTCTATTCAACATTTAGTCAATATATAAAATGATTAGAAAGGTCAATGTCTTGTGAAAGTATATGTACTTCCACATTCAATGATCTTGCAGCCCCATATAGTATCGTCATGGACCTAGCTTTAATTTGAACACACCACTATCAAAACGTAGACCAAGATTCAGTTCGTGAATTGTACCACATTGATTGGGTCACAAAATAAGACATTTACGGAAAAAGGACAATATGTTTTGAACACGAAACTCCTCACTGTGCCTTCTCCATATAAGTACTCGAGCTGCACTGGCCAACGGAGGTTTTCCTACCAATTCATTTCCGACACTTGCATTTAAGTGCAACCATATATAAATAGACACGTAAGTGACTCATGAAGTATTCACTTTGATTTAAACATTAGCATCCATTCAAAATAATTGGATTCTTAAAAGATCAACATCTCTTGTTAATCAAATATGAACCAGACTTCTTTTTCTCAAAGCCAATATTTTTCTTTTCGGAAGTCAAATAATTTTACAAATTATCCATTCCTGAAACATGACAATGAATAGGGATGACAAAAATACCATTCAAATTCAATATCTGCGTGGCCATGTTCCAAATAGGGTGGGGATTACCTGTTTAATTGGGTAATTGGATAGGGTAAGGCTAACAGGCGCCCTGCCCTGCCCTGCCCTGTCCCTTTTTTTTTTTTTTTTTTTTTTTTTTTAGAAATTCAATACTTTAAATGAAAAAAAAATTCATGAAATTTCATTAATTCTAATAGAAGAAGGCAACTAAGATTATATAAAGAATATGATCCACAGTAAATCTTAATTTACCGAATATATTCGAATAATTTAACTTCTAAAATAAATAAATTAATTAAAAAATTTAATAACTATATTATTGTTTCACTTGAATGAATAGGGACAATAAAATTAATTATCAAAAATCATATAAAAAAAAAATTAAACAGATATGTAAACGGAGTAACCGCCCCATCCCACCTTAAACGGGTAAAGAGGAAGGTATAGGGCGGGGAAATCCCCGGCCCTTCCCCGCCCCATTGCCAACCCGGATTTCCCTGCCCCATTGCCAACCCCAACAATGAAAGTGCATACACTTTCGTAATTATTGGCATCCATTCAAAAGTTAGAATTTTTAAACCAATAAGAAACTTTTATCTTCCTTTTAAGTGTCCATTTTTTTTCTCTCAATTGAAAGAAATTATTTTTCCAAATGGACCATATCTCATTTGTTCTGAACAAATTTATTCAAACAATAGATCACTAATTCCATAACAATAATTCTAACCCCCACATCTTTGGGATAGATTTGGACACAAATATAAGTTATATCTTAACTGAAATTAATGTGCGTCCCTCCACTTCCACTCTTAGAAGAGCTAATAACACTACCCTGTCTTTGGGCATTTATTTTGGGTTTGTGACCCAAATTCAATTGAATATATTTTTTTGGCGAAAAATTATTTCATTTATTCCACACGTTTTTATTGAAAAAATATTGTTTTCTTTAAAAAAATATTCTTTCATTTATTCCATGCATTTTTTTATATTATTTCCATCTTTAAGAATATTATTAGGGTTTTGATATATCCCCTATATATAGTTGACTTTTCTTTACAAGCTGATTTATTATAGAAATTAGAATAATTGTGAGAAACACAATTATTATAATTCTTTGTTTATTATAGTTGAACAAAATCTTAAATTTCTCTATCAAATTAAATTCTTGTCTTTATGTTTATCTTATTTTTGTGATCAATACTTCATATCGTGCCGTATAACCTCTTTTCGCCTCCAACAAATGATATAAGAGCTTTGGTTTTTGATACATTCAAGGTTCTAGTTCTTGATGGCAAACATGATGTATGATATTCTGCTTTTGGATTGCATCACTAGATTCTCCTTGTAGCAGGTGAAGATGCAATCTATACTTGCACAGATAGATTTATATGATGCGTTGTTGAGATTTGATAAGATATCCTCAACTTGGTCGATAGAGGAGAAACAACGTAAGGATCGAAAGACAATTTCACAAATTCATCATCTTTCGAATAACATTCTTTATGATGTTTTGAAGAAGAAAACTATAGCTGCATAATGGTTGAAGTTGGAGCAATTGTACCTAATTAAGTGTCTAACCAACAAATTGTACCTAAAGCAGCGTTCATATCCTCATCGCATGACAGAAGGCAGGTTGTTGCAAGATCAACTAGCTATTTTTAAGAAGATCGTTGCTCATTTGGAAACGTTAGAGGTAAAGTATGATGAAAAAGATTTGGCCTTAATAATTTTATGTTTGTTGTACTCAAGCCGAAACAATATTACTCTTTAATATGCATTATTTACATTTGAAGAGTGACGACTAGTCATTTCATCAATTAAAGACCTTTTCAATTCACACTTACAAAATTATTAACCGTGCTACTCGTACAATCATGAATAACAATGTTTGTCAGGATCATCATATTCATCCATTTTTTAAATTATCAACAATTGTTTTATAAATTATTAGCCAGATTTTGCTACCCTCAACATTGTCAACAATGTTTGTCAACCAACATTATACAAATAGATTAATTCAAAAATTATACCATAAATTCGTAATGGTAGTGATGTGTCTAATTGGAGGAATTAGATATCTTGTGTTATGATGGAGATATATTATTTTTACATTGTTGTGGATATTGATTTAGATTACTTAAATTAAGTTAATCAACAAATATTCTTATTATTGCAAATGAAACTAATTAGGTACCTGACCCGTTAGTAAATATAAGGTGGCATGATTTCTAGGTATAATAAGTTTTCAGCTAATTTTCTCATTTAAAAAATGTCCAACATGTTTTGTGAAAAATTTAAAAATAGGATGCAAAGTTTAAAAAACAGAGAATTTTTTCTCTTAAAAAAAAAAAGAAAGGCTAGTTGAGATCATAATTATTTAATATCATTTTAAAATATTCATGTCTTATAAAAAATAAATAACGAACAAAATTTCATGAGAAAAAACCAATTAATAATATAAATACAACTATATATATTAAGAAAGTACGAAAAATGTATAAGAATTTTTTTTTTAAATGAGAATTATAATATTTCAATTAATAAATGAATCTTCAAATTAGAATCCAATTTACCTATGCATTTTTTTAAAAACAGTTTTATTTTACTTATTGACCCAACAATGACACACTAGTTGAACCAACGATCCACGACACGGTGTTTTGGTAGGACAAATGAAAGCAAGGATTCTCCAACTAATTGAGGAACAAGACCAAAATCCTTCCCGATTAATAAAATATATTATATTTATATTTATAAATCGTATAATGTATGTCTTTTATATCATTCTTTTCAATTTTTTAAAAATATTTTTATGACTATAATACAATAATAATGTAGTTTAATTTAATTTATATAATTAATATTTTAAATTAAAAATAATAATAAATGAGGACATAAACAGGGTCCCATCCCCATCACTACACCTACCCAACCCCAAATAAACAGGCAGGGGGATAGGGATGGGGACGGGGATAGGGATGTCAATTGGGTCGAGCCGTTTAGCGGCTCCCC